GGCGGGGAGGCGCATGCACCTCAGAAGCTACAGCTAACTTCCCCGCCCCGATCCGACATTGGCAAAGCGCAACAACTATAAAAGGAAGTGGACAAAGCATCAAAATCAATTAGCACAAATTTTACATAATTAATTTGCTACTAAATCGTAAATAAATTTTAATAATCAAGAACTGCACTAAGTCTTACAAATGCTAAAAATCAAAAGCTGAAAATCTTTTTCTTTTCTTTTTTCCTTTAAAAATAATGTGATTGATTAGCAGTATCTTTTTTATGTTACTACTTTGTCATGTCCGAAATATTTTAAAAGACAGCAGTAGTTGAAGAAACAAAATTCGAGCTCAGAAGCAGTGGTGAGAGTGGGTTATGAGTTTAGTTTGGACCTAAGACTCACGTGCACCAAACGCCGAAAATTCAAAAACTGAAACTGACATCAAGCAAAAAAGTGAATGCTTGCAAAATGAAGTATTTTTCTCTGCTAAATTACCGTCTTTACCTTGAACAATCACATATTTTTCCAGTCCGTCTTGAATGTGATCTAAATGTAGTTCTAATCACACCATAAGCCTTATTGCAGGTTTTACTTTTAGTAAATAGAAAATAGTCATAATATATCGCCATTCACACAGAAATCCGATAGAATTAAAATCAACACCAACACCAACATACTATATTTCATGTATAACTTCAAGTTCATTATATTCCTAAAGCCAACATTATTTTTTTACTATTGTCACTCCCTCCGTCGTGTATCGCCATTTATGCCTGTAGTGCCCTGACACGCCCTCCACCAGGGCACACATGGTGCAAAGTGTGTGTTTGTCTTAGATATGATAGGACAGCCAGCATATGAACATATTTCAACAACTTTCTGAATAGAAGCATGTGATATGAGTGCATTTAACCTGATATTAATATTAGTTGTATAAGGTTACAGTTTAAGAACTAAGTATTGGGTAAAACTGAAGGCCTATAATTTTGATATTTGCTCAGATTTTGGACTTTTGAATTAAGATGCCTTTAACCAGCCGTATTACGTCTATTGCGCACAAAAGACAAGATGTTAAAATGTCTAGGAAACAGCAATAACAACAACGATAATAATAATAATAATAATAATAATAATAATAATAATAATAATAATAATAATAACTGAAGAAGAGAACTCCGGTGCATTTTTTTTTTATTTTACTGAATGTAAACGCCCTTCTTTCTCATAGCTTTTATAAAAAGGTAATAAAAAGCAGTGATTCGTAATTATATTTTTGACGTCTGTGCCTGGACAAAAAATCCATCGATATTTTACATTTCACAGGCACAAAAAATCTACCCAAATATATCAAACAGATAACTATATGCAACTGTATATATTCAATTCACATACCGATTCTTCTATTCACCAATGCGGAGGGCAATGCTACCCGTCTCTTTAAAATTAAAAAATCTTTTTCAGATGGACATCACCAAGAAATTTGCAGAGAGGGCTCACATTTCTTATGATGCCATAAACCAGAGAATCAGGAAGGTCGAGGAGGTGTATTTCAACGAAGATAGGGAATACTACGATGTCTTATGGCTTCATAATGAGGTACATGCACAGCTGCATCGAGCCTACAGTTTAAAATAGCATTTCGAGATATGGCAAGAAGTTACGCGGTCTGGTATCGAAGAATTTGTAGATTATTGTCCATGCAGCTTTTATGCTTTACAACATAAACCCCTTCACAGCGATTTGAACATTTTTATTATTTATAATTATGTACAATATTTGACATAAAATGATAGAAATGAATTTGGTTACACATTCTATGACGTTTATAGGACATCATTCGTAACAATGTCTGAACGAGAAGCGTATTTTAATGAACATTTCTCAATCTTAAGGGAATGGAATACAGACTCAACCTGAGAACCAAAATGTGTAATGTCACTGCTCTCACCAGACCCTTCAGGAAGATCGGCATCCCGGCCAATGCCAAGAGCGGCGGTGAGGCGTACATTGGGTCCGCTGTAGCTAATGACGGCGTGTTGGTATCCCTGTGGAGCGAGACCACGGAACAAGGAGGTAACTTTGATACGCTATGGAATTTGAAATAACTCTTTTTAATTACCAAGATTGAAGCCTGGTATTTTTCATTTTCTTTAGAGTTAAGCCTTTGCATAGAATATATTATATGCAAACGCACAGGAGAGTTTTTTCGTTCTTGAACATGAAATACCGGGTACATGATACTCAAGGTGAATAAAAAAAAGTTGCCTCAGTCGCAGTTTGTTTATTCTTTCTAAAAATAAAAATAAATAACAAAAATAAACCATTACTCTCCAATTGAACATTGATCTCTTTTAATATTCTTAAGATATCGGAAATGTGTTTTTCGGTTTTTTTTATCTACTTTAAAATTCTTAAGATAAAGAAATATGTTTTCGGGTTTTTTTTTTTTTTTTTTTTTGAAGAAACAATATTTGATAAACACTTTTCATGCAAATATATATTAACTTACAAGTTTTGTGTACCTTCAGCTAAATACTATGGGTCCTGGACATACCCCGCCTGTGTTCCCGTCTCTGACTATTTCTACGACTCCTCAGTCGGACTTGTGCAGACACAGTAAGTAACCACGTAACAAGGGATTGCGTTTCATAACCACTTTGATGAAACCCTTGATATTTTTCTTTTTAGTTTATAATACTTTCAAATTAATTTTTGGGGTCAGTGACTGTGTAACTTTACTGAATGGGGTTTAACACGGTACATGTTATATCAGCGTTAATTGTCGTGATGGTAATAATTTTCTTTTTTTATCATTTCAGTTTCTACAACGTGGAAGTAGGCATTTCAGACCCCAATAGGTTCATCCCACCAATGGAGTGCAAGAAACCATAAAAAAGCCAAGTTATCGTCTCTAAACGCCAAACAGTTTAGATGCATTATACCTGCGATTTCCTCGGACAGATGAAGACCAACACACTGAAATAGTTACGCTACAAGACCGCCGTTTATTTTTCACAAGTTTTCGATTAAAAAAAGAACAAAGTTTATCTTTCACGTTTTTCATATTGATGTCACTGATATTCCGACATGATTGCACTTACAATGGCTACAGATAACGTATAATATTAATAAATACACAAGACTGTCCGTCAAATAAAATAGTCTACAAAATATAGATGCATTTTTATATTCTACACTTAACACTACAGGAGTTTGTGTGTGTGTGAGACTTGACTAACTGGATACCGGGAATCCAAACATACAAATCCTCATGCCAATCGCATCAACTTGCCCCAGTGGACAAAACATCAAACTTTAACCACTTATCATTCACTTTTTATTGAATGCTGAACAAAAATAGCGTAATCAAATTGGGGTTTACGCAGCATGTGGGAAATATAATTGCAGAATTAAAAAAAGTATTTTTGTTTCAAGTAAAATCAAACTACTTTTCATACTTAGTTTTAATCTATCACCTTACCAATAAATGAAATCTATCTTAGTATCCAATTCACTGGGAGATTATCTATAAAATATATTTGTAAATTCCTTAATATTATTGATAAATAGAACAAATAATAATAATATTAATGAGAAGCAAGATACAATTATAAATAAATGATGCATTTATACCTATACATAAATCTCAATTTCACAACATTTATAAAGTTTCAAAAATAAAAATTGAAAAATGTCTAAAGTACAAGAGATTACTGAGCGAACAAATGGGATCAACACAGATAACAAACACTTTTACTCCTATTTTTGTCTGATATCATATATATTGCAAAACAAATTGTAACATAAAAGTCTAAAAATCTGAAATTTAAACATAATTTGGCTTTTACAATAGCAAAATACAGAATATGTATGCCTAGTATTAAAATAAATGATAGAAATATTGGAGTATATTTGCACTTAGAGACTATTCTTTTTAACCATTTGACATTTGTGTTATTTAAAAACAGTGACTTACTATAACAGTAATCTGAACACAAATAAGTGATTTTTACATTTTTCTGAAACCTCCTACAAGTAGATCTTATTCAGCAATCTCTGCATTGTAATTTCATTTTTGCATTATAAATATACTGTAACAGTTACAGGAATCAGATCATCCCAAATCCCTGATTGCCCTCATTAATAGCCAGCAGTAGAGCTTGGTGGAACTGATCCAAGGTGTCATAGTCTGGAAGGCACAACTGGTTGAAACTAAAAATAAAGAAATAAATAAATTATTCTAATATAACCAACTTTTGATGCATAGTTTGGAACAAAATAAATTAACAATACCAAATTATATATACTGTAAATCACTTCTAAAATATGGAAACAGGTTTTTGTTTCCTTTTTTTTCTATATTTGAAGAGATGAATAATAAATAAATTTTTTGTGTGTCACTCAAAAATAAGGTCTAGTGAAATAAAGTTACATTCAAATCTTTATACGTAAGTGAAAAGCTACCAAGTATGAGCAGTAGGCAAACTTCCAGAAGACAAAGCAGGCGAGATTTGAAAAGTTGGGGAAAGGGAGCCAAATCCACCAGGTGGCAGCTGGGAACTTCCTGTAGTGAACTGAACAAGACGTGCCATTTCTTCTGTTGTGAAACTTCCAATGATGGTCCAGAACCAATTCAAAGTCTGAAAGAAAATATCAGCAGTAAAGATGTAAAAACTTGACACAATCATAATTGCCCATTTCATTAGAGAAAATCCATTTGACCTGGGCCTGATTTTTTCATGATATAAGGAAAAATAACTTTGTCTACTATACATCTTAAAATCCCAATAAAAAATTTTGTTGTTTAATATTTTGAAATTTAAATATTTATTTTAAAAATTGATGTTTATTTGGTTGATTCAATATCTAGTAAATGTATTCTTACCCTGTTGAATGAATATGAATTTCCACAGATATTCACATTATTTTTCAAGTCATCCAGGCTATATGAGCCTGTGCCACACATCAAAAGCTAGAAGACAATTATTGAAAACATTGTTATTTAACACCACAGTTTGCTTTTCAATCTATAATATAAAGTGACATAAATTATCTCAAAATAAATGTTTACAGGTGATTAGTTCAAAAAGATATAAAATTCAGCCAAAAAAAGAGGGCTAAAAAGAATCAATCTATCAAAGAAAAGATAATAAATAAATAAATAAATAAATAAATAAATAAAACAATATCTAAAAAAGAAGGTAGCAAATCCTCACCTCTAGTTCATATTCATCAAAAATGCTGAGTAAGTTATCAGGCACCAAGTCATTAAGTCCTTTCAGAAAAGCTTCCATTTCCTCCTTTATTGTAGTTGCCAGCTGATATTGTGCCAAAGCATCCAAGTACTGGTGTCTGTTGGCTTTGGTCACTGGCACCTGAGCTCCATTGGGGATCAAGTTAACTGTCTGTTAACAATAAAAAAATAATAAAATAATAAAATAATAAATAAATAAATAAATAAATAAATAAATAAATAAATAAATAAATAACCATCCACACAGACTTTGGTAGTGAAGTTATAAACAAGCTCACATATCACTTCAAGCGTTTCTTTTGTCAGAAAATATAAAAAATGCACGCAATTATTCCCATGGTGACTCCAGATAAAGGTTACAATGAGATATGCCAACTCCATATAACACCTCATTCCTCTGAAAAAAATGTCTTGCTAGACACTGAAATATTGGAACATTAATACTCACAACTTTTTGAGTTTATCTTTTGTTTGGAGAACCTATTGTCAAATTACAGCTGCTGAAATTCTTTGCAATACTCCTCTGTTACTTTTTGTTTTGTCTTGTTTTATGCTTCATAATTTTGACATAAACAAAAACTTACCCTTTCAAGCTCATTTTTCTCATTGTATTCCTCCTCCACAAAATGCATGTCCATATCTGCGGGATCATTCTCTAAAACATACTTGATTTTGGTGGTGTACAGATCTGGATCATCTTGTTCAAAGTACTGATCAGAAACAAAGTAAGAAAATACTTCGATATCAAAAATTTTTGTAGCACCTCAGATATACATTATTTTATGCCTTATCCAGACAAACTTACATAGGCCATAACTACCATATGCAAACATTATAGAAACATTGTAAAAGCAGTAAAATTATTTAAAAGTTAAGAAAAGATTTTAAAATTAAAATTCATCCCTTTCCCACAAAATGTATGCATTATACACAGCCTAGCTCTCATACTAATAAAATTTCAAGTGTTTTACCTACCTTGTAATTGACACGTAACCCAATCAATTGGGCCAAGAATGACCGTGCAAACTTAGCACTGACTTGCTGTTTGTAAGAGCCTCCTAGGGCAGATTCATACAGAATCTTGCCCACAACTTTCCCAGCAAATTCATAGTATTTCAGCTTCAGGTCTTCTGGCCTCTTTGGGTTGGGCAGAACCTTGTGGAAAAAATATCAAAATCATAGTATTGTATGCAATTATGCAAATATATTTTATAATTGTGAAAAAGGTGGGTTAATTAGTGAGATAGCCTGACACACCTACATGAAAGTGTTGCAAATAATAAAAATAATAATAATAATAATAATAATAATAAACAGGTTGCATCAGCCTCAATTTCCTAGTGTGTATTTCATGAAGTTCGATTAAATATACATATTTGACAATCAGGTTCTAAGATTTCAACTTATCAGTCTTCCACAAGACAAAAGGTGTCAAGGAGCATTTGTGAACAATACTCACAAGTCCCTGGGGGTCATCTTTCTTTAATCTCCTGAATAGCTTGGATTTACTGGGATCAAAAATGTTAATGCACAAGAGATGAAACCATTCCCTCCTCAATCCACCCCAATCCAGACCTAAGAAATGTAGCAAAGTACTATTATTAAAATATTATTGACATTTAAAACCATCAAAATTCAGTGCATAAAGGCATAATATGCATATGAAAGTAATTAATAAGTAAATAAATTACTTTTAAAAAATCTGCAGACAGCTATAGATGACTGACCACTCTATTATAAGAACCCATTCTCTCTTAGTGCAAGTATCCTTTGAGGCATGTTATACATTTTGTGTTACTTAGTGTATCTGAAGTGTCATATTACCTACCTTGTTCCCCAATGAACTGAATCTCAAAATTCTTGCACCAGTCAGCAATGTTGAACCCTTTGGTGGCTTTAAATGACTAAAATGAAATTTTTAAATCAAAAAAAAAAAAAAAAAAAAAAAAAAATCACAAATCAGATTTTTATGTTAAAAAACAATTTAATAATTTTTCTAATGGCTCTTTTTGCAAAGTCTTATGGCACAATTTAAAATATGAGCACAATATATGTAATGCATCTCTGATTTTCTTAGAAAGAAAATGACCTGAAAGGACCTCTATAAACAAACATTTTCTCCAAGTATAATTATCTAATAATAACTTTCATTTGAACTTTTGGTTCTGTCATTTTAAACATTGCAACACTGACCCCATGTCAGTCAATCACATAATATGTGCTACTCACACTTTCAAAAAAGTTACTCCTGTCAATCTTAAGTGTCACCTTGGTGTGTTGATGCTTCTGATGATGACTTCTCATTTCACTATAGAAAAATTCTTGTTTTTCTTTGAAAGACTGTGAACCCCCTTTGATGAAAGTGAGAAATTATTATTTTTCATACTATAAATCAAATGAAACTCATCGGCATTCAGATTTTTTTTGAAAAAAAATTCACTTAAGTATTACAAAGACCATTATTTGTATAAAAAAAAAACCTATTCAAGTAATAATATACAATGTCATAATCATAATAGTCATTTACCCAATTTGCAAAGAAACTATTCTTTTCCATGCACCATTGATTAAACCTGTTTTTTTTTTAAACTAATGAGCAAAAGCCCACAAAGAATCATACAGAGAAAAAAAAAGCAACATTGAAAAATGTAAAACTTTTGAACATACAAATTAAATACTTACCAATATTCTTTATAAGGTGGTTAGTAAAAGTGGCAACGATTAAGCTTCTATCTTTACTGGCAAGCTCAACTTGGGGCTGTGTGCTATCTTCTATGATAAACACAGGAGCATCATACTGATTGTTCATCCCATCAAACAAAAACTAAAGCAAAAAATAAATAAATAAATAAATAAAGCATTTACATAACATGCAGGGTTTTTTTTTATAAATATTTCTCCAAATCTCAGTTAACATGAAAATATCTACAAAGTTTTAGTATGAACTGCAGCATACATCATTTTGCAAAGCTGCTAACAAATAAACACAAATAGTTCTCAACATTTTGGGACAATGCATGGTCATTTTTTAATTTGATTGTTATTGCCATATTGCAAGGTATTGAAATTTCCAAATCATTAAATCCAATTACATGCATCCTTTATTTTGTTATGTCAGATTTCATACCATTGCCATAATGCAAGGAACTGAAATTTCCAAATCATTAAGTCCAATTACATGCATCCTTAAAGGACCTTTATTTTGTAATGTCAGATTTCATACCATTGCCATAACGCAAGGTGTTGAAATTTCCAAATCAGCAAGTCCAATTAAATGCATCATTTATTTTGAAATATTAGATCTCATACCATGATCAACACTATTCATCACACAACCACAATACATACCTTTGTGGATGGACACACTCTAAATGCAGTGATTAATTTTGGGATGATCTTCAAATAATATTCATAAACTTTCAGAGTCTGCAAAGAAATTAAATATGGAAGTTAGGAGATATTATCAAAATATTTAGACTTCATGTTCACCTGTTGATACAATTTTACGCTGAACAAACTACACTACCTCTCTCTATTTATTAATGGCTAGATGTTATCAAGAATGATGTTACAAAGCGTAGTTCCGAGGCTTGGATAGTTAAAAGTGAAAACTTACCCTGGGTGAAATATAAAGGTAAACTTTTTTGGCCTTTGAAAAGCGCTCATTGCACAAACTTAGTAAACGAGCCTCATAATAGCACTTGTATTTCTTTTTCTCAATATTTTTCTTAACCAGGACTGCTTCATCTTCTGCAAACAATAAAAAAACATATTTATAATTTTTTAATATTTATTGTTTATTAAAAATGGTTCATTTTAACAGGCATTGGGAAATATGAATGCCCAGAATACTAATACATATCTCTAAACACGAGCAGTGGAAATCTTATCTAATGTTTGTATTATTGTTGTTGATCCCTCTTCAGTGAAAGCCCTAAGCTCATGGTGTCTAAGACTTCTCATATTCAAAGCAATTCTCATTGTATACCAAACAATTCAAACTGATGGACCTCTTCAGATTACCAGATGACGAAAAAAAAAAAAAAAAAAAAAAATCACTTCTAAAACTCATTACACCTTACCCCCTTTTATCAAATTCAATTTGGTACCTTTCAAAACCACCACACTAAACTCCCCGTTACAGACTGGTGTGTCTTGGTAAGAAATGCTGCCTGTAAAACACCCAGGACTGTAGAATTTTATTTTAGCTGCCAGCAGACCAACAGGAGCTTCATACAGCAGTTGTGTGTGAACCTGGGCATCTTCATCTGTGCCAGCCTATTGAACACAAATGTAACGGCATGAGGACATAATCAAAAACAACATTGTAAAAATAAGCTAAATCATGGACTTAAAGAATTTCATTAAGTATCACTTTCATCATTATGGGTTAACTTTATATCCACCTATTATAATCTCATTTGAATGGACAGGACATATGAAATAATTTTGCCGGGCTACTTATATTCAAATTTTATCAATCCTCACTTCTTTAAAACTAAATTGCAGTCCACAATTATCTTGCTGAAGTTGTTTTTCTATTGCTAGCTGTGTACACAGATTCCCATAACTGTCCTTTGGTTCAACATAAAGTGCATATCTTTGGTGCTGTGTACAAACAATTGTAGGGCAGTTAGTCACTACTCTAGTCTTGGATGGGTTCATAGGACCTAGAAAGAAAGCAATCAGGAATCGATATAATGGATGGCATTAGAAACTAACAATTATTTGTCTGAAGACACCCCAAGGAATAAATCTAATGGGTATAATCATATACAGTTAAATATGTATTCATCACTCATTTTTTTCTCTGGAAAAGCCAGGACAAAATAACATCCCATATATTAGCTTCTTCAGACAGGTAAATTTCACAAAATATTTGGATAAAATGTTTCTTCAAAACAACATCATATCACAAATTTACAAACCTGACTGGAAAAACTTTTCAAATGGACTCCCTTTGATGGGAACCTCATCGCGCTTTACATGGATGTAATACGTCCCAGCACGTCTGACGGTAAAGGAGACTGAAGCGATGTGCACTTCGGGATGTCCTAGTTCAACAGCACACGTTACTGGAGGGAAGTGTGTGTCACTTTGGTGCTCAATTTCTATAGACAAATTGTCAGCGTCTGAGACTGGGTAGACCCTTCCTCCATAAAAACTAAAAAAAAAAAAAAAAAAAAACCATAAAGCATCATCCAAATATGAAATTAAA